AAATCTTACAAAATAGCAAATATTCAATATCTATGCAACTTCATTGTAAAAATTCTATGAGATAGTTTCTCACAGACACCATATACCTGTGTGGTTCTTAAAATAATGAAATATCATTATTTCACAAAAATATTAAATCAGACTCCAAGAAGTCACAAATAAACATCTAAGACCAACAATAATCATAATAAGAAGTTTTTACATGGATTTGATTTGAACAAATCAAAAGATTGAGGTGTTGATGGTGACGGGGAAGGAGCAGACGACGACGGAGTTGATGCAGCACGGCGATGGGTAAGGTGGTGGTGGCAACCACAGGGAAGAGACCGCCGGCGGAGGAGATGACGCAGCCCTAGGAAATCGATGCTTTTGGTCGAAGAAGAGAGAGAACGGTTACTTCTCATCTCTAGTGGTCTATTTTGTGGTGGAAAAGAAAAGGGGAGGGGGGAGGGGGTATATGGGGTACAAGCTGGGGTACACATGTGGTGTAGCCCTAGCACATCCGTAATAAATCTGGTTGGACACTTTCACAATACTCCGTACACAACACAGGAACCGTAACGTTGGAAGAAAGTGGAGGGTCCCACCCACAAGTGAACGTCCGGCCAACTGCCACTCAACGTATACCTCTTCCACCCTTTTCTTCCTTTATCCATTTGAATTTCAAATTTAAATTTAAAAATTTCTCACTATGGTTATGCTGCATGTGCCACCCAAAGGATTCCTTCTTTCTTTCCCCCTTCCCCTTCTCCTCCTCCTCCTCCTCTCTGTCGTCTTCTTCTTCTTGTCCAGATGTTTTTTTAAAAAAAAATAATAATTAGCTTCCAAATTACCAGACCTTAATAATGCTCCTCTGTTCCTCAAAGGCGGCCGTTTCTTGAATCTCTATTTTTTTTAATTGCCCACCGCACCGGGCCACTCTCTGATCGATCTACAATTCCCAGCTTGCTGGGGACAACAATGGCAGACTCGGCTTGTCTTATTCAAGCTTTCTCATACGCTTCTGCGACGCCCAATGAAGCCAAACAGGTAACTAATACAGTAATTAATAAATAACAACTGCGTACTGTTCAATCCTCTCTCAAGATTCGATCTTTGTTAGTGGAACATTCATTCATGGAATTCTTGTGCAGGGGAACGCCATTCACGCGCTGGGAGAATCCATATCTTTCGGCCGGTTCATGTCGGACTCTCTGGCTTGGGAGAAATGGTCCGCTTTCGCCCACAACAGCAACAAGTATGTAGAGGAGGCAGAGAGCTATGCCCGGCCCGGTTCCGTTGCCCAGAAGAAGGCTTTCTTCGAAGCCCATTACAAGAGAATCGCTGCCAAGAAAGCAGCAGCCGCCGCCGCAGCAGCTTTGGCCCTTGAACAAGCCAATGCCTGTGCGGCAGCAGGTGGAGACGAGGAAGAAAGAAGAACTAAAGACGAAAGTGATGTCCGGGCCGGAGATGAGGCCCAAGAAACAGCTTCTTGTTCAGAAGAGGTCAGCGAAACGCCCCAAATGGAGAGACCCTTATTAAAGGTACAACCCTTTTTTTTTGAGTTTTTGTTTAGTCAATAATTGATATGAATCAATCACCAATTTATCTGCATCTGGATCTCTGGTATGATATGATGACAGAGTTGTTCCAAGAAAAAGGAAGTAGAGGAAGAAGAAGAAGAAGAAGTTTCATCAGCTCCTGTCATCACTAAGAAAAGCCCAGCCCTTTGTTCACTGAAGATGCAGATTCATGGCAACGCTCGGAATAAAGTTCCACCGCCTCCTCCTCCGCTCGTGGCAGCAGTGCGGCCCACCACCATACAAACTCCTCCAAACAACAAAGAGAACATCACAACCGCCACCCCAAAAAGGATCCCTCCGGCAGTGGTAAAAAGTTGCAGTCCATCACTCTCCCTAAACGCTGCCAAACCCAAACCACCTTCGAAACCTCTCAGCTCCCTGTTGAATCTAACTCCTCTGCCAGCCAAAGAACCCCCGCCACCTCCTCGGTGTGCTCCCAAGAAATGCTCAACGCCTCTTCTCGGGATGATGACTCCAATGGTAGTAATCTTTCACATCACAGCAATCCCAGTTGCTTGAATTGTTCAATTAACCAAGCATGATCCTAATCAGTTTTTTTGTTTCATCAGCAGCAGGAAAAGCCAGTTAATCCCGCATCAGCTTCAAGAAGTACTAAAACATCTGCCCCCAAGTGGCACCTTCTAACTTCAGTGTAAGTCAACCTGGTTTGGCTGCAGTTTTGTTTGTATGATGATTTTTGATGTTCTTTCTTACGATTAAGTTATGAATGTGCGGCGCTTGCAGTTGTGCCAAGTCATTGACGGCCTGCCGGAATAAACTGCGCTCCCCTTATACTAATACCAGCCTAACACCCACCCCTTTCCGCCTAAGAACAGAAGAAAGAGCCACTGCAAGAAGGAAACAAGTGAGTTTTAAAATGTTAGATCAATTTCCTTTGGCTCTTTACTATAAATGCATACTATATTGGGAATGAAGTAGATTGATTATCATGGAATGGGTTATATGTCTGATTTTAGAAACTGGAAGAGAAATTCAATGCCAACAAGGTGGAGGAGGTGGAGGTACAGAAGGTGCAGCTGCAAACCAAAATGAAGGTCTACTTAACCACCTACCTTTTCATCTATCTATCCTGATTGTTGAGGTTCATTCGAAGGATCATCATGAAAGGCATAATATTTAAAATCAAATGGTTGCAGGAGAAAGCAGGGACGGAGCTGAGGAGGAAACTGGGTCAAAGCCTGTGTTTCAAAGCCCGCCCTCTCCCTCGCTTTTATCATCACAAGGATGATACAACAAGAAGAGGAGAAGAAGTGCCACCACCACCACAACCACCTGCTGCAAAACGTCAACAATCCCCTAAGGTTTCTTTCTCTCTTTCCTCTTAATAGAAAAAGAAATCGATTCATGCGGACAGCAACATGGTTCTCTTCCGAATGCCCCACAAATTCATTATCTTTGTGTTGATCTGCAGAAACCGGGAGCGACACTGCAGCCTTCTGCTCAACCCCTTGCAAGAAAGAGTCGACCTAAAGGCCCCCCCCCCCCCA